TTAGCTTCATTCCCCCCAGGTGGGTGCTCTAGTGGGCCTGGGAAGCAATGGTCTGCCCCAGGGCTTCTGACACTATAGGCCTCCTGTCTGGCAGAATTAGCCATCCAGCCTCTCCTTCCCGGGCCCTTAGTTTCTCAGCTGTCCTCTGCTCCTCCAGCAGATGAGTAGGCGTCTCTGGGAGCCTTCGTGCTGGCGGGGCTACGAGAACTTCTAGGGACCCTACTGGTCTTTTAGCCACGTCCTTGGCCCCTATATGGCTGCCAGGAGGTTAAGTATCTCAGGAGCATTTTTAATGTCCTTTCCTCCTGAGGCCAGAAGTCCTCTTTAAGGTGGCTCCCGTGTCCTCCTGTAAGGGCAGTGTGAGGAGATATATCCCTGCAGTCCCTGGGTAGGACTGGCAGGGTGATTCCAGGGTGGCTCACCTGGGCTTCTTTCTAATCCTGGCAGGGTCTTGAGTGAGTGCTATGAAGTCTACCTTTTGGCCCCCCACTGTCAGGGTTATCCTGGGCTCTTAGGGGCCAGGTGAGCCCTGACAACCCTAATCCACCTCCTCCACCAACTCAGGAATCGGTTCCCCAGCACGTTCAGGGCGCTCCCTTTTCCAATGTCCTTTCTTTCTGCAAAATGCACATTGATTTTTCCCAAGCCAGGGTTGGACTCCTTTTCTCCCATGAGGCTTTTCTTGGCCCTTGTTGTCTCTCTGGCCTCTTGGGCCTTTTTCCTTGCTTATGGCCAGGAGGACCTTCACCATCCAGGTGTTTAAACCTGCCATCGGGTCCTCCCGATTGTTAAAAACCTTCTGGGCCACCTCAACCAACTTGAAGATTGTTTTCCCCTCAAAGCCTTCTAACTTCTGCAATTTTTTCCTAATATTTGGGGCCGACTGGGAAACAAATGCAACACTGACAGCCCTCCGATTCTCTGGGGCATTGGGGTTAGGCCCCTGGACTGTCTCTGTCACCTTAGAGAGGTTTGTGGGTCTCTGAGCAGCAGCTCAGATGCCCCCCAATAGAGTCTGGTGATACCGATCGAGAGCCTCCTTTCCCCTGTCACTATTGGGGGTTCCAGTTGGGTTGCTTGGAGGGAAACACAGCCTTTAATCTGTCTTTTAATGGTAAGAAGAAATTTACAATGTGTCTATATTTAAATAGATAGTTATAGCTGTCCCTGTAGTAGGGCTCCCCTTACTTGTTCTTTCAGAACGGACTAAAGGAGCTTTGTTTCCTTACAGGGTCTCACATGTCACAGGACCTCACAGGGTCTGTAATTCTTGTAACAGAGGGATAGTATTTACCACTTTACTAACCCCCTTTGTTCTAGACAGGCCTTCCCCAGTTTCCTACAGTTGAGGTTTTGTGCTACCCCTGACATGGGCATGGTCAAACAGGCCTGCAAGACAGTATACAGGTTGCTAACTGTCAACTGTCTCTCAATAGAGACCAAAACCTAATGGGTATTCTTCTTTGCCCAATTGGGCATCTGCCCTCTCAGCAGCTAGGCACCCTATACTTTTGAGGTTTACCCCACATAGCCCCCTTCTAGGGCAGCTAACACAAAGCCAAAACAATGGTCCTCACTGTGGGACACTGGACACTTGCCAGTTACTCCCAAAGACTACCAAGGACTGTAGACCATCACCAGTCTACAGCAACTGCTGGCAGCTACAGCTACATTCAAACCTGTAAGAGAATCAAAGGTTAATACAACATAGTAATACAATGAAATATAATATTGGTACTATAGCCGCTTCAGGCAGCTAAATCTTCTGCTACTAAACATGACATATGGTAGGGCTATACATTTTAGGGAGGTGACTAAAGTCTATTCTTAACCTCTCTATACAAGGCAAAATTGTCTTTGTCTCTCTGGAGCCATGTCCATGAAGATGCAGGCATCATCTAAGTCTATTATACAGTTTTCTGCAGGCTACTGTCAGGGCTGTGCATTGTGGCCAGTTCTTCTTTCTAGCTACAAATACAGTTTGTCCAATTTCCTTAAAATGTATTCTGGCACAGGAGAAAGTTGCTTTGCTATATACAGGTAGCTTAACCCCTATACAACTGGGCTTGGACCTCTGCAGTCTATAAGTTCGATATGCAGCCTCCGGTCCTCCTAACCCAATGAGGTTTCAGCCAGTCTCTGAGTCAGACTCCTCCTCTCTTTGAGAATTTCAAAGTCCTGATGGCTCCCAGGGAGAGCGCCCTTTTCTTTGCCTTTTGTTAACCCTGTTTATTAGTTATAGGGCCCTGCTTTCCTTGTCTTCCTACCAGTCCCCTTTATGGCAGAGCAGCAACCAGGCCTCTTCGAAGGAAGTGCACTAGAAGGGGATATCAGCCCCTTCTCTTCCAGGAGCAACAGGTACTAAACCCTTTCAGCACATTTGCAAACAGGAACCTTTTACTAGCTCTATCTGCAGCTTTCATAGATCCCAGGCTTGCTGCTCTATTCCTGGGGCTGTAGGAAGGCTAGTACCAGTCACTGGCTTCTGGCTTAACTGCTGTAGCCTGCAAGCCAAAGGCCCAAGTCTTGTATTGCTTGTTGTAAAACACTCATTACTCACTGGGCAGCAGCGGGGCAGCTCTAGTGTCAGGTAAATTTCTGCTGTTCTCCACTTGCTCGCTGCTGCTGCTGCTGCTTCTGCTGCTTCTTTTTTCAGGGCCACTGCAGGCAGCTCAGGCATCCAGCCCCACTTCTTTGTCCTGACTCTCGGGTGCTGAGTCTGCCTAGCAAACAGTTCTAAATCACCAGGGTGGCTTCAGACTTCAGCTCCGTTTCTCCTCCACTTTGCTCCTGGGAGTTTAGTTGTTTTTAATGTAATAAACTAGGGCAGAGAAAGATTCATTGCACTTACAGAAAACTTGCGACCTTGAAGTCAGTTGATAAGGCATCTGCTGGTAAGCTACAGAAAAAACCCCTACACCTGCAAAGCAGTCTGTAGCCAGTAAAATAACTGCCGATACTCCGCCCCTATTTCTCAGCCCAGGGCCCGTTGCTTTCCCCCACAGATTTTTCCTCTTATTTTTGATATTTCCGACCAACCCCCTGTCTCCCAGTCCAGGTGTTCGTCTCCCTTTAAACAGTGGGCATTTCGGAGAAAAGCAGCCCTGCTTCCCTCCACCTTCACCCTCTCTCTCTCCTCTGAGGTGAAGAGGGTCTGCAATAACTGCTAGCAGTCATCCCACATGTGTAAAAAAAGACAGACTCCAGCAAAGATATCAGACCCTGAGGGTTCTGAGAAAAAGAGGGATTTCATTCTTCCAATTATACAAATCACTAGTTGAGAAAGGGACATAAATCATGAAAGGCTGGCTGTCCAGACCCAGGTCCAGTGGCCCAGCCTGCCTCAAGGGCAGGAGAGGTGCTGGGGCCACCGGCCCAACACCCCCAGAAGTCCCATATTCCATTCCCTATCTAGTATGGGACAGACTGAAGGGGTTGAAGGAGGACAAAGCCCCTCCCGTTGGTGGGTCCGGAGGGAAGACAATTGGCGTCAGGGGAGGTAGGGGCTCTGGGTCAAGAGCTGGTGGTGTGGCCTGGACCTGAGGTCGGGGCTTACCTGGATCTGGCACCAGGGGAACATAGGAGGGCAGCCAGCTAATGGGTTCTTCCTGCTCTCCCTGAAGGACTGGGGGAGCCTTTCCCTTCTGGGGCCCGGCCAAAAGAATTCTCTGTCTCTGTCCCGATTTTCCCCTCAGGAGGCATGCCCTCATCCACCAGGGTTTCTTGGACAATATGTCAACCCAAACCTGAATATAAGGAATTTGATCAGGATGCCCTGGGCGGCCGTATATGACATAATGGACCCGGTAGGCATGGTCAGATCAAAAGACTCTGCATCCGGCCACCCCTCCTGGTAAGTGGGCCACTCCCATTCACAGAATCGCTGTAAATCAAAAGCATTAAAATTATAACTTTTAGATCTACCTCAGAACTTCGTTTAATACAGTAAATTTGCAACCTACGCAAGAGCAACTGACAGACAGAAATCTTTATTAACTAAGTAGGCTGATTCCCCTTTAATAGTGAGCAAAAGACTCTGAGAAAAATAATTCTCGCAGCTGCTGAGAGACTTTTGCAGACTATTACAGGTCCAGCACAAACGTTCAGCCAAGCATATCAACAGAAAAGCAGAATAAATCAAAGTAGCTTTCACTTCACAGAGACCAGTTAATGAGCAGCTAAGGCAGACAAACACCCGTACTCACACTTTCTTAGTAGCTAGCCCAGGCTGGAGCTGCATCCAGTCCCCCTTCTCTGTAGTAAATTGGCTAGTCCCACACAAACAAACAGCTGTTTCCAACATGCAATTGAGAACAGTGGGTTTACTTTGTCCCGACCCCATGATGATTGGTGACGAGAGACAGACAAGGGAGGGGGTGACCTGTTTTCACAGATCCTCTCTCAGATGCCCGCCTGGCCACGTCCCTTGGGAGCTTAGATTCGTCTTAGCTAAGGTGCACCCGTATAAACCCTGGGTCTGGTCACCTCCACGTGAGGGTGAGTCACCATTATGCCATATGATGAATTTCGGAACTGCAGGTTGGGGCCCACTCAGACTCCGTAACTGAAGTCCTGGAGCCACATAAAGGAGAGGAGAGGGCAGGCCCCCTCCCTCCACACTCACACACTTTCACCAGACATTCACTCAGAGTTTAAACAATCTACCCAATTCCTAACAATTTCCCAATTCCTGAGGGAGCTCTATAGCTTCCCGGGAGGTGATCAAGCTCCCCTTCCACTCACTCAGAGTGGGCCTGACTGATAGGGGTTCGATGAAGATGACTGACCCTAACCCATTCTGACAACACCAAGACAATAAACACTAAAACAAACACCGGACAGACAAACCCAGTGCAGCCTAAAGCCGCACAAACCAGGGACCCCGCCCACCGTCATGGCCGTGGGTTAGGACCAGGAGTACCGCTGCGTCCAGCCCTCCATATAGGTCTTTCCGTGGGACATCCCAATTCAAGTTTAACGACTGGTCTTCCTTACCTCTCTTGAGAGTCCAGGTGGCTCAGTTTCTGAATTGAAAGTTTTGGGTGGAGTCTCCTCCACCTCCCTGGGACCCAGGATGGAGACTGGAGGCCACCTAGGTAGTCGTTCCCCACAGGGATGTGGGGTATCTCGCTGAGTGCCCAGTGATAAATGGGGGAGAGCCTCCTACCTTAAATAGGGGGTCCCTCTCACCCCTGCTGGGGGAGAGCCTCCTGCCCTAAATAAGGGGTCCCTCTCACCCCTGCAGGGGATCTCGCTGGGGCCTCCAAATGTTATGGGTTCAATCAGCGAGATAGACCACCAATACAGAATTTAAATTTAGGAGCCTTTTTTAAGCTGGCCAGATGACTACAGCGCGTCCCTCCCCTCTAGGAGCCTGGCAGCTTGTAGTGCAGACCAAGGATCCCACAAGGCTTTTATTTGCGAGAACTACAAAGCATTAACTGATAAGGCTAAAAGTTCAGTAGGAAAACAAGGTCACACCTGGCTGGAGCATATCATAACACTTTGTTTCTTAAGACAATTAGTAATTTTTCTATGCTATGGTCCCTGCCCCCAACACATTCAGTAATCTTTCCATGTCACAGTCCCTTCCCCTAGCACAACACCTGTCCCAGAATCCCCACCTCCCACCCCTCCCCGGACTACAAACACCTTTTCAGAGTCCCCACCTCCTGGGCTTACACACACCTGACTCAGAGTCCCCACCTCCCGGTCCTTCACATACCTTCCCAGAATCCCCACCTGCCACCACCTCTCGGGCCTGCACACACATGTCCCAGAATCTCCAACTCCTACCACTTCCTGGGCCTGCACACACCTGTCCCAGAATCTCCACCTCCCACCACTTCCCAGGCCTGCACACACCTTCTCAGAGTCCCCACCACCCATTGTCTCCTGGGACCTAAACGTACCTTCCCAGTATCTCACCCACGGCCACCTTAAGGGCTGCACACACCTTCTCAGAATTTCACACCGGGCTACCACTCAGGGCTGCTCACACCTAATCATGGTCCTCAACTCCTGGACATCTCTCAGGGTCTAAACACACCTTCCCAGGGAACGCACCATTTGGCCAACTCCCGTGCCTGCACACACGTGTCTCAGAGTCCCCACAACCCAACACCTTCCTGGCCTGCACAAACCTGTCCCAGAATCCCCAACTCCCACCGCCTCTAGGGCCTGCACACACCTGTCCCAGAATCCCCATCTCCCACCACCTCCCGGTCCTGCACACACCTTTAAAGGGTCCCAACCCCACTACTTCTCAGGGTCTAAACACACCTTCTCAGATTCCCCACCTTGAAAAACCTCCCAGGCCTGCACACACCTTCTCAGGGTCCCCAACCCCCGGACACCTCTCAGGGTCTAAAACACACCTTCCCTGTTGCCCCACCTTTTAGCCAACTCCAGGGCCTCACACACCTG